TTCAAAAATAATTGCTTTGTTAGAGATGCCATATTGGCCTATAATTATTAGATAAAGATTTTCTTTTTGTTTTGTGTATAGGTATTATTACTGCTTCTTTTAGTGCACCTTGTCAAATATCTTTTTCAATGCTTAAGTTTATTAGGTGTACTATGGCAGATGTTATAAATTCAGTTAACGTTTTTATTACGAGGGTCGTTTGAAAAGTCCATGCAAAGTCAGAGAGATGGCGCTACTAGTGCGTATCAAGGTTATTTTCAGTTAGTGGCATATCTTGGAAGAGCACACACCAAGTTTCAGCCAGATCGGCCAATTACTTTGCGTTGTACATGCGTTTCAATCAAAGAAAACGAGTGGTTGTAAAAAAATGGACGAAAAAGAATTTCATGTATTGATTAAACATTACTTTTTCAAAGGCAAAACGCTTCAGGAGATTAAAGAGAAGCTTGATAAACATTATGGTGATTGTGCACCTTCGATTAGAATGGTTTATAAGTGGTTTCAAAATTTTCGGAGTGGCCATATGAGTACAAAAGACGCTGAACGTTCTGGACGCCCTGTTGAGGTTACCACTTCAGAAATCATTGATAAAATCCATGATATGGTGATGGTTGACAGAAGAGTGAAGAAAAATGGACGAAAAAGAATTTCGTGTATTGATTAAACATTACTTTTTCAAAGGCAAAACGCTTCAGGAGATTAAAGAGAAGCTTGATAAACATTATGGTGATTGTGCACCTTCGATTAGAATGGTTTATAAGTGGTTTCAAAATTTTCGGAGTGGCCATATGAGTACAAAAGACGCTGAACGTTCTGGACGCCCTGTTGAGGTTACCACTTCAGAAATCATTGATAAAATCCATGATATGGTGATGGTTGACAGAAGAGTGAAGAAAAATGGACGAAAAAGAATTTCGTGTATTGATTAAACATTACTTTTTCAAAGGCAAAACGCCTCAGGAGATATGGTGATGGTTGACAGAAGAGTGAAGGTGCGTGAGATTGCTACTACTGTAGGCATTTCGAGCGAACGGGTACATAATATTTTGCACCAACATTTGGACACGAAAAAGCTATCCGCTAGATGGGTGCCGCGATTGCTCACGATTGACCAAAAACGAGATCGTGTGAAGTGTTGCAAGAATGGTTTGCAGCTGTTCCAGCAAAATCTGCAAGACTTTAAGCGTCGTTTCATCACTGTAGATGAAACATGGATACATCACTACACTCGTGAGACCAAAGAATAGTCTAAGCAATGGGTTACCAAGGGGGAATCTGCTCCGAAAAAGGCGAAGACAATTCCTTCGGCCGGGAAGGTTATGGCGTCTATCTTTTGAGATTCGCAAGGAATAATCTTCATCGACTATCTGGAAAAGGGTAAAACCATTACAGGCGAATATTATTCATCGTTATTAGATGGTTTGAAAACCGAGTTGCTAGAGAAACGTCCACGATTGGCCCACAAAAAAGTCCTCTTCCACCACGACAATGCGCCAGCTCACGCCTCAGCAGTTGTGGCCATAAAACTGATGGAGATAGGGTTCCATCTCTTTTCACATTCCCCCTATTCTCCAGACTTGGCTCCGTCGGACTACTATTTGTTCCCTAATATGAAAAAATGGCTGGTGGGAAAATATTTTATTCAAACGAGGAGGTTATTGCAGAAACGAATGCCTATTTTACAGACTTGGATAAATCCTATTATTTGGAAGGGATTAACAAATTAGAGCTGCGTTGAATGAAGTGTATAAGCCTAAAAGGAGACTATGTTGAAAAATAAAAAAGATTTATTAAAAAAAAACCAAGCATTTTTTATTTTTGCACGGACTTTTCAAACGACCCTCGTACGTGATGATATCATTTTCATCAGCGAAAAAAGTCCGCTTCATGACTATACTCATTCGTAGAAAAAAATTAATAAAATGCTCATTTTCTTTTTAATTAAAAATTTTTTAAAATAAATTTTTATTAAAGAAAATTTGATTAAATAAGTTAAAATAAATAATAATTATATTCAGAAGTTAAAGTAAATTATAAATAATCATAAAATTAAAATAGCAAAAAAGATGTCTGTTTCAGATTCAAATAGAAATGGCGGCTCGGGAGGGGAAGTGTTTTACAATCGACACAGCTTATCGGGTTATTAGTGTTTTAGAATCAGCACACCTTATCTATATGTTTAGTTTCTTATAATTGTTATTAAAATTCGATATGTATAATTTGTTTATTGAGAAAAAATTATAACCTCAAAGAGATAAAACGCGAAATTCAATTTTTGATCATTTTAATTTTTTCAATGCTACATTATTTACTAATGCTGCTAGAAGTGCCTGTTCTTTTTAAGATTTTAACATTCATTAGAAAAATTATAAAAACAATTCAATAAATCGGCGTTACTTTGCGGCAAGAACCTTTTTAGTAACAAATTTGTTAAGAACTTTTTAAAATATTGGATATGGTTATCGCTTCAGAATTAAACAATTTATTTTGCAACAGAATATGGACGTTTCGATGTATAACGTAACACAATGGCCGATTTCAAAATAATGGGTCGTCGAATGTTTGGAATAGTTATTATATTAACAAATATGTTTTCAAAAATGTTTGAAAATCGATGCTATAACGCAGTACCGATTCACTAAATCCCTTTTACAATTTTTTTTAATGAATATCGAGACCGCAATGTGGAAATACACATTTTGAGAATGTTAACAAACAATGTATTATTAAAAGATATAATATTATCTAAAATTCCTAATACTTTTATCGAATTAAGTTTCGCGTTTCTTCACTTATGAGAATATAATTTAGTCTCTTTAAAAAAATCCATATTGAATTTTAACAAAGACTATAAAAAACTATTGGGAGTACAAATAGAAAATCGCCGTTTTTTCTAATAATTTGAGGTTTTATTGTAAAAAACTCGTTACAATCTCATTCTTCAAAATAATTTCCATCCTTAGTCACAACTTTTTCCCATCTTTCTGGCAGCTTCTGAATTCCTCTTCGAAAAAACTGTTCGTCTTTTGACGCGATCCACGAATCGATCCAATTTTTGGTTTCTTCGTAAGAACGAAAGTGCTGTTCGGCCAGGTCATGCGTCATCAATCGGAACAAGTAGAAATCAGAAGGTGCGATGTCAGGAGAGTACGGCGGGTGCGACAGGATGTCCCATTTCAAAGTTTCCAGGTATGTTTTCACGACCTTGGAAACATGTGGCCGAGCGTTGTCATGCAGAAATATGACCTTGTCGTGCCTTTCCGCGTACTTTGGGCGTTTTTCCTTTAATGCTCGACTCAAACGAATCAATTGCGTCCGATAGAGGGTTCCTGTGATGGTTTCGCGTGGTTGCAGGAGTTCATAGTAAATTACGCCAAGCTGGTCCCATCAAATACACAGTATCAGCTTCGAGCCATGAATGTTTGGTTTCGCTGTCGAAGTTGATGCATGGCCGGGAAGACCCCACGATTTTCTCCGCTTTAGGTTGTCATAGTGTATCCACTTTTCATCGCCGGTCACAATGCGATGCAAAAAACCCTTCCTTTTTTGCCGTTGGAGGAGTTGTTCGCACGTGACAAGACGCCGTTCGATGTCCCTCGGCTTCAGCTCGTACGGCACCCAACATCCCACTTTCTGGATCATTCCTAAGTATTTTAAGCGATGGGAAACGGCTAGCTGAGTTACGCCCAATAAATCCGCAAGTTCCTGTTGCGTTCTGCAAGAATCTTCATCAAGCTAAGCCTCCAATTTCGCATCCTCGAACTTTTTTACTGGTCCGGGACGATCCTTGTCATCTACGTCATACTCGCCATTTCTAAACTTTTGGAACCATTCCCGACACGTTCTTTCACTAATACAGCTGTTACCATAAGTTTCTACAATCATTCGACGCGCCTCAGCTGCATTTTTTCCCAAATGAAATGCAAAAAGCAACACTTCCCGCAAATGTCTCCTGTTCGGCTCGAATTTTGCCATTTTTGCGCACGAACAAAACAAAGCACAGTAAAAATAGACAAGCGAGGTGATGAAGAGTTGTTGACAAATGCCTCAGCTGGCTATGTAACGTTCCTGTTAACAATTTTTTACCGACGTGCAATGCTGACGCCACCTATGGGAAAACGGCGGTTTTCTATTTGTACTCCCAATATAAACTATAAAGTGTCTCTCCAAATTATTTTGCTTCAATTCATGGATAATTATTTCATTACAGGCAAAATAAATACAAATAGCATTTTTTATCGCACGGGATCCATTCAACTAGCTTCCCGAGTTTAAGAATCGTTTTAAAACATGCTAAAAATAAAGAGCCGCACATTGTTATGTATCTTTTATAGCAGGATAAAATTATTTTTAGAAGTAATTTATGCAATTGATACTTGTATTTATCATGATCGCTATATTTATCATTATTATTGAAAATATAGTTAGATGTATGAAGTAAAATAGTTAAAATGACAATTATCTATATGTCTAAACGAAAACTAGGAAGAGGTTGTGTGCGCGACTACTATCCGATTTTAAATGTCTTTCCAGATCTACCGAATCTATCTTAATGCGCATTTCATTTAATTGCTCTCAAATATATTCTCTAAGCCATGAGAATATCATGAGCATGAATAAAAGTGGAAAACAAAGTAGAGTGACTCTCACGAGGCTTTACCTATAAAACTTCCTCTTTATTAAGAGATAAGTAGTTCATTTTTTATGAAATCCGCTGTAATATTTTGATCTCATATTTGCGTTCATAAATAGGAAGTCCAAATAGCTCCTAGAAATAATTGTTCAAATTTATGAAACGCTTTTGCGATATCTACAATGCAGAAATCTAATAGGTTGAATTCTTTATAAAAAACGCTAGGTCAATAAGAATTTGTAATTTCGCTTGGGAGAACCTATTTTTGAACAGAACTACTACAATAATGAATAATGAGATATTATATTAATTTTTTATTATACTGTTGAATATCCTACTATTATTAACCAGTAAAATTTTTAGTTACTTGAAAATCTGGTTGAAGGAGTAGATGTCTTCTCCAGCGCAAAAGGAAAGCTGCACAAACATATAGTTGAAATGATGCAAAACTGTCAGACTCTGCTAAATATGTATCCCAAAGGCGAATTGTACAATGTAATGGCAATTCTCTTGTTAATAAATTATTCATCCATCTAAATGAAAACTGAAGATAATCTATTCCATGTTGGTATAAATGTTGATGCAAAGGCACTGTGAATGCAACAAAATTAATAATTAATAAATTTTTATATTTATATTTAAAAATGTTCTTTTTAAAAGCACTTGTAAGATAGGTTAACAATAAGTTTTTTTACAGTACATTCATTCGATTGCAAATTTAATTTTCTTTGGATTTTTTTGAAAAACTACAATGTTCTTTTATAAGTTATGAAAAAGTTACTAAAATAATAAAAAATTAGGATTGCAATATTCATTGAAAAATTATAGTTATTAAAATTTATTGTTCATCGTGTAAACAATATACTTATATAGTGTTACAGTTCGCACAAAACTTTATAACATATTATAATGTTAACAATTTTAACATTATTTCCATTTAGTCAAATATCAGCTTCGAGATATTTTTAATGTAACAACACGACAATTTTATGAAATATACACTTTTTAAATTTCCAAGAGAACGTCTTTAATAATAAAACTTTTTCAAGTTCTAGATCAGATTATTGTATGTTAATTAAATAAAACTCTATTGTTAAAATATGTCATATTAATAACTTTGCTTCGTAATAATGCTTTGATAACATACCATCGATTCTCTGTATTAATTCTTTCAATTGATTAACTTTGTGCTGAATTCCTAATTGAGCAAAAATATAATTGTCTTGGATTCCATCAAGAAACTTGGACAAACACCAGAAACTATCTGCTTCAATGATATCACGTCGATCTTTCGGTAATGACGATACGTCATAATTCTCAATGTCTTGCCAAGCGGAAATTGGTAATGCCTCTTGAAGAAACACCAAAAAAAATGGTGTTACTAGATCATTCATTCCCTACAACATTAGTAATTTAGTTAAAATTATATAACTATATTTGTTGAATGTTACTCTTCAAAAGAAACTTCTGAATCAATTTTATCGTAAAAGACCTAATATTTTTGTTGATTTTTTATATAGCACTTGTTTTTATAGAAAAGATTACATAAATGAAATATGAAAAAAATTATACATATATTTTTAAAAATTTATGTATACTGAATTATAAAATATTTTATAATTTAATAGAGTCCGTATAGAAAACTCAAAAATGAAGCAATGAGGTGTTCTATTATATTATAACGTAGTTTTCTAGGAAAATTCTCAAAATAAAAAAATTGAAGTAGCACATAATATGTAGGATGCGTTTCACACGAAAATACCAGACTTTGATAAAATGTGATTCTTGCTTATTCACTGGAAAGTACATAATTTCGGACTTAATTTTACTAACGAAAGAACGTTTTTCAATACTGTTGAAATAACTTGTGCTGATTGACTGTAATTTGTTTCTCGCGTATGATGTAAATAGCTACAGCATCCCGTTTCATAATCTGGACTGTGTTTCATCTCACAAGGGTATACTATGTTCCTGGAAAACATGCGATTTTCTATGGACTATCACACATTCAATATTAAAAAAATATTGAAGTAGACGATTAAATTAGCAAAACTATAATAGTTGATTGCTGTATTAACATAGTTTCGATATAATTTATAATCACTAATGACACGTGAAAGTTATTATGTCATAATAAATACTAACAAAATTCACTTGTTTAAGAATAAAGCTTGTCAATAGTATAAATACTAAATTAAGGAAAAGTATACTTTTATACATAGAATATTTTGGCATATTTACTTTTCTTAAATTGGGGGGAGAGGAATATTCGACTATCTTACCCGGCTAGGCCCTTTGTGACGGGAGAATAAAGTTGTCAAAACAATTAGCACTGCTAGTTATTCATCAATATACGTATGTATTCATATCGTGTTTATATTTTTTCTCAATCTTTTCGCTTGAATTATTTATGTGCGCTTGACATACTTTCGGATAGGAAATAAGAAATATATTGTAAAGTACGTGACTATAACATACGACTTTCTAATCCTATGTCCTAATCAGCAACGGAGAATCACGGTTTGTCGATTATTCGTTTGGCTTTCACCATCATCCGTTCGTCACTTTATATTAAGAGTGTGTGTTTATGCATTTTATGCCTGTTTTTTCTATTGGTGCGGTGAACATAATAATTGGTGGAGTCAGGAAGGGCCGATAACTACTGAACATAGAGAGCGAAACGGCAAATACGAACTCAAGAGGAGTAATGATAAAGTCGACGAAAGAAAGAGTTTAAAGGAGTAGTCGGTGCCGATTTTTACCGATTTTTCGATATTTGAAGTTTACGGTTTCAGAGGCGGTCTCACCGGGTCTTATTTTGTAATTGTTCCGGACACATGCCCGATGCTTGAGTTGAGTTTGTATTTGGAGGTTGGGTCGCGCCCAGCCAGTGCTAATTTTCAGCACTAGAACATGCGAGGATTTCGGCAAGAATCTGTGCTGACGATGTGCGTGACCTTTTTCTCGAACGGTAATAGCAACGGCCAGCAGAGTGCAAGCAGTAGCAGCAACACTGGTGAAAACTAGCAGTGATGGCCAGTAGGTACTAATAGTAATAGTAATAACTTCGAGGTAATACTCTTTATTGACCGTACGACCTTGTGGTAAGAACTCTTGATGTACTACGCCACGATAATCAAAGAAAACAGTGAGCAAAACCTTGACATTTGATCGAACTTGACGTAATTTTTTCGGTCTTGGCTCTTCTGGAGTCTTCCATCGGAACGATTGGGCTTTAGTTTCGACGTCATAGCCATAAACCCATGATCCGTCACTAGTTATGACTCTTTTGAGCATATCAGGATCACCATTGACGTCGTTTAACAGCTCTTGAGCGATGCTCCTTCAACGGTCCTTTTGTTCAAAATTAAGCAGTTTCGGAACATATTTTGCTGCTACACGTTTCATGCCCAAAACTTCGGAAAAAATTACTTGACACGAGCCAACAGAGATGCCGACACTTCAGCCACTTTTCTAATAGTGATTCGACGATTTTTTACCATCATTTGTTTCACTTCTTCAACATTTTCATCAGTTATTGAAGTGCAGGGGCGTCGAGAGTGAGGTTTGTCGTTGGTATTTTTTCGGCCATCTTGAAAGAGCTTATACCACTTGTAAACATTTTTTTAACTTAAAGTAGATTCACCGTATGCCTTTCTCAACATTTCAAGTATTTTGAAGCACTTAATTCAATTTTTTACACAAAATTTTATGCAAACTCTTTGATCCATCGTTTTTGACAGCAGAAAATCGCGGAGCACAAAAAACACGTCTGACGTGTCTGTCTCGCAAAAAAAGTAAACATACAAACTGGCTGAAACTGTGAGCATATGTGAAGGACATGTATACCAACATAATAAAAAAAGATATCGATGATCGAATCTACGTAGCTCGCCCAATTTAAAAATTCACCTTACTTTTTAAACACACCTCGCACTATGGAACCGTAGAAATCATATAAAAACGCAAAATGTTTGCCTTTGTGTACTTTTTAAAATTTCAATTATTGTCAACATTCAATATAATTTATGTACGAACATTCGTTCTAGTAAATATAAACAAGTATAACAGACAAGAACTGACTAAGAACTGTCCACCATAGAGTGAAATTATAGAAAATTATCAAAAGTGTAATTTGAATAAAAAACCATCAAGTGTAAGGCACAAAAGCTGCAAACTAAACCATCGAACTCTTCATTTTCAACTATTTTTGGCTAAAAATTTTATACGTGAGATTCTCAAGCATCAATATCAAATTCTCACGGAACAAGGCTTTGATCTATGGTTATTATTATTTCAATTAAAAAATATTTTCTGAAAATGTCATCAAAATTTATTCAGCATAGGGTCTAATCAATTTATTTCTAGTACATTGAGTAAATTTTCTATAATTATATTACCATATCTAAGAAATAAAAGTTAGCTGTAACGAGCTTTCTACAACAGATCCAGCAATAATAAAATGATTTTTGTGTAAAATTATCGACTGTTACAAATTATAAAAAATTATAAGATAAAAAATATATAAAAAACCTGTTTGAACAATTAGGATTAGACGTTATAGATGCCGACTACACTCGTATTTCCGGAAGAACTGGGAAGATAGTCCCCCGGTTTTTGAGGGAAATTGTCAGTGAAAAAGTGAAAACGAATTAATAGCTGTAGTCGTCTCTCATTTCAATAATAATTTCCTATTTTTTATTTATAAACGAGAAATAGGTAAAAATTGTGTTTTTCCATTTACCTACTCAATGATTGTTTTATTGAAAAATTGTTGTTGCATGTTTACATTCAATGTCTTAAAATTAAGATTTTTATTTCCCTCGTAATCTTCCGTATTTACATTTATGCTATATGTTACTGATTTTAAATAAAAATTATAAATAACTTGGACGCTTTGAATGGCGGGAAATCGGAATTAGTCCGTATGCTTGTATTACATGGACCAAAAAATTAAAATTGATGGCGTGTATTATACACGGCGTATACAGTCTGGATAAGTCAGCTAAAGTCGGTTGTCGGCTGTTTTTAAATCAAACTACGACGACGTTATAATTGTCAACAGTAAATAAGGCATCTGAAAACATGAGTATTATGCCCAAGACATCAAGATTATTATAAAATATGAAAAAAAATCTCAAATGTTAATGGTAATATTATTATGTTGACATTATCTACTGTGTTTCCTAATACAGCAACTTGAACTCTATAACAAGGATTAATCCAGCAATTTAAGTAAACTAACACATTGTTTTCAAGGTCTTGAAGTGTGGTGGTCTATTAACCCATTATGCCGAACTAACTATGCCATCCTTTGTACAATCGAAAAAAAATAAACAATTGTATATTATTACCGTTTTACACCAACGAATTAACCTTTGAGAAAAAATGTGATAGAGGTTTACTTCGTAATTTTTTTCGTATAATCAATTGCTGTAAATAGTTTTTAAAAATAATGACTCTAATGATAATTTGTTTGAATAAATTTTTACAAATGTTTGCAAATGGCAAAAGAAAAAACACGGATATTTTTTTCATCTATTCATATACAGGGTGTCCCATTTTAAAGGAACCATCCCGAAATTTTCTACGGTTGGCGTTCTACAAAAAAATTATTCAGACAAAAGTTGTTTGGGACAATGAGGAACACCTTTCCCAGAAATCTAATTTGACCATGAGATTTATATTCAAGGTCATTTGAAAGTCAAAGTCATTTTTTGAATAGAAACCTATAGTTTTGGTCCCGGATTCGGAAAGAGCGAGAAATTCTATGTTTAGATAAGGTATTATGTGTGATGTGCGGTTAACCCCCCCCCCCCCCGCATAAGGTCACGTAGGGGTCAAATTTATTATTTTCTTCATCTCTGCATAGGGATAATCGGGCAAGGGTAAGATTGATTGTAATAACCCAATAACTTGCTGGTAATATCTTGCCCCTCCAACCCAATAACTAGACGGTAATATCTTGCTGCAGCACTATATCGGCCTTGACCGTTAAAATTACCCAGGGAGGCTTCGGTACCCAAACCACCTGAGAATCCGAATCATTAAACGAAGAGAGAGATGTCGACCACGAATACGCCCCGAGAGATAACAGAATGTCAACAATTAAGAAGTTTAGACGGTGTCTAAGCTAAAAAATGGAAAATAAGCTTTCGTTAATTAAATGAAACATAATTGTACGTAATCTTCAATAAATCTCGAATGAATCCTTGAATAAAGCCTTGAATAATGGATAAGAAATGGAAAATAAGCTTCCGTTATTATTAACAAGTTTGTCTAACTTGGCTGGCTACCAAGTCGGCTTCAAAAACATTTTTTATTTCGTATTTGGAAAGAAAGTTAAACTGGTCACTCCCACATTGTCTTAATCCATTAAGGCCCTTGTCAAACCTGG